CTAAAAGACTCACAGAACGGCATTTTGTGGAGAAGATTCCAGCCACAGGAAAGAAGGCAAAGCCACAAAGAAGATGTGTCGTGTGCTCAAGACAAGGCAAAAGGAAGGATACTGTTTATTGGTGTAGTGATTGTGAAGCAGCGATGTGTTTTGATGAATGTTTTAAGAAATACCACACACAACTCCACTTCTAATCAACTTGCTTCCATCGTTGAGATAAAGGGCGGCCATATTATCAGGTAAGATTATAACACCATCTTTTAAGATTATTTCAGTGAAAAATTCATAATTATATCTCATATAGTTCAAAAGCTATGATAATTAATATAATTTAGACACAAAATTTAAATGGCCAACTAAAAAGTAATACCGCCGGAGGCACCACGAAAGCGATTTTTAAATCCCCACGCTCAAGGGTTAAGACAAATCAAGGATTAAAACAGGGAGACAGTTTGGCACCATCAGTATTTAATTTGGTATTGGAACATATAGTGAGGAAATGTAGTGTAGACACAAGGAACACAATAGCGTATAAACAAATGCAAATAATGGCGTATGAGGATGATATTATTATAGTATCCCTAGAGCAATGGAGACATATAAAGAAATAAAAACCATAGCAAAAACTGGCTTAGAGGTGAATGTAAATAAAACTAAAATGCTGATACAATCTATAAGGAATCCAAGGCAAACTGGAGAAATTAACACGGAAGGGGACGGGATAGAAATAGTTGAAGACTTCATATATTTAGGATCGAAATTCCACAAAGATGGTGAGGAAAATCATGAACTAACAAGAAGAGTAAAACTAGCGAATAATGCATATTTCTTGTTACTATCAGTTTTTAGATCAAAGGATATACACCGAGCGATTAAAACAAAAATATATAAAACAATGATAAGACCGGTGCTTTATTATGGATGTGAGGGTTGGACGCTAAACAAGAAAGAGGAATCAGTCATCAATCAATTCTTTCGAGAGGAAAATCCTAAGACGAATTTATGGACCAATAAAAGAGAATGGGATATGGAGAATAAGATATAATAAAGAGTTATACAAATTATATAAGGAGCCAGAGATCTCAGTGACGATAAAGCTTAAAAGATTGCAATGGGCTGGGCATGTACAGAGAATGGATAAGGAGTGTATCCCAAAGAAAATATTATATAGTACAATATGTGGTAGGAGACGTGCGGGGAAACCAAGAACTAGATGGATTGATGCGGTGGAAGAAGATGCAAAGAAGTTAATGGGAATAAGGAACTGGAAGAGAGCAGCGCAGGATAGAGAGGAATGGAGGGGCTTGATAAGGGAGGCCAAGGCCCAACATCGGGCTGTTGCGCCATAGAGGAAGAAGAATCCTTACATCTGCACTATAACCCTGGGTTTGACTGAGCCTTTAACAGAAATGAGTACCAGGAATCTTCCTGGGGGGTTAAGGGCAGCTGCCGCATAAGGCAGACAACCTCACCGCCATCTGTGAGCCGATTGTCTAGAAAATGTGGAAACCTTGATGTCTCACAACCCTTCAGGCCTCCACAGCCTGTTACAGTGATGATAGCTTTACCTTTTATTGCACTGTATGGATGCTTGTTGGACTTTAGTTGAATATCACAGCAATAAGGTTAAATATCTCATTGTGCTTGACATAAACCGGGTAAATTCAGACAGTTAAATGACTGGCTAATTGATGGATAACAAAGTGTCAATTCCCAGAAATGGCTGGATAATTCTTGTAACCACCATATCCAGACAAATTCCCTTCCAATATGTGTTACACCAATCAGATAGTGTCACAATCTGCAGTCTCCCACTAATGTTATTCTTTTGGATCAATTCCAGTTTGTCACTTTCCCACTTGTAACATTATCCAATTAAGAAACTGTTGATATGATTAACTAACTATACAGGTCAGCTTCACAGCAACCAAGACAATCCATCAAATTGGACAACAACCTAGCTTCCAACTGGAAGATTGCCTTCATTCCATCTAAACTTCCAGCAACAACATGAGTGCTCCCAAAACATATGAGTCTAGGTACCAATGAAGAGTGTTTCCCATCATCACATTACAAGTGAAATGTTATACAGTTATATGTTATTTAAGAGCTTGAGCTTTACCTCTACTCCTCTATATGCTTTCATGCTACAGTGTTTAAAAAATAGGATACACTTTATTGTTTTTTTATTGCTAGTGGGGTGGGACTAAGTCCCTTGAACTGCGGCCACCTCTGGTCCCAGATAGGTGCAGGTGATTGTGGAGCAATTGGTGGAATGAAGGTTGGCAGGTGAAACCGAAGTACTCGGAGGAAACCTGCCCCAGCGCCACTTTGTCCACCACAAATCCCACTTGACCAGACCCGAGATCGAACCTGGGCCGCCGCGGTGGGAAGCCAGCGACTAACCGCTTGAGCTATAGCGCACTTTATTGTTACCTTTATTACTTCTGTTAACGATCTTGACACAACTGTAATTCTTTCTCTCCTGCTATTTCAGAAAATCATCTGATACACAAACATCACATATTGCCTCAAATTATTTTCAATGACTGGTATTTATGCCAGGAAAGTCCTGTTCAAATAGATGTGTTAGGCATAGTCTTATAGCAATTATACGATGGGGTACCCAAAAGAAACTGAACTAATTTTTTTGTGGGCAGAGCTTTTGTAGTACCGCGTTTTGCCGCTATGAGCGCATAGAGCTAACATTCCTGAGTCGATAAGCCAACTACCGTTGCTTCAGAAGGTAAGGACTAGTTTTGGTAGAGTTTATAGTGACAACTGTTTTGTTTGATCGTCGTTTTTGCAATGGCTGATTTTCGTGAACAGCGTGCGGCTGTGAAATTCTGCTTTTTGCTCGGGAAAAGTGGAACAGAAACTCTTGAAATGTTAAAAACGGCGTACAAGGACGATGCTATGGGGAAAACTCAAGTGTTTGANCTGTCAAGCATCTCAAAAGATGAATTTAGACAATGTTTTGAAAAATGGAATAAAAGACTAGACAAGTGTATTAGTGTAAGTGGAGAGTACTTTGAAGGGGATTGAAGGTTTGTGCTTAAAATTTGAATAAATAAGTTTAAAAAAAAATAAGTTCGGTTTCTTTTGGGTACCCCCTCGTACATACACTAAAATCCTGATTATCATGTATTCTTGTGCAACTGGCAAAAATTTGAAAGAAAATATTACCATCTCTACAAAACTATAGTTGGTTGAGGGGCTATGCTACAAGCTAGAAGGTCGCCAGTTCAAGTCCTGATGAGGTCACTGGATTTTTTCAATTGACCTAATCCTTCCAGCCGCACTATGGCCCTGGGGTCGACTCAGCTTCTAACAGTAATGAGTATCAGAAAGTTATTAAATAATTTTCCTGGGGAGTAAAGCACGGCCGGCGCATAAGGCTGACAACCTTACCGCTATCTTTGAGCCGATTGTCTAGATACTTTACTTTTTACAAAACTATTTCAGAAACAAAGTTATGATGAGCATATGTTCATTGCCATGCAGTAGTTCTCCCAGGTACCATTAGCAGCACTGTCTATCCTCTCTCACACAGGTGCTATCACAGTCACATTACTGCATGATCACAGTACAGATTGGCTGAATTTGTTGCTGTGATGCAGTATAAATATCCAAAATCATTCATCCATCAAACTGCTATGCCATCTATGAAGACTCCCACACAAGAACTAAAGCAAACCCATGTCCTTTTGACTATAAAAGAGAAATGTAAATATTAAAATGCTGGAAAGGGTGAAAATCATGTGAAAACTGAGTCCTGTAGGAGTTTTCTTAATGCAACTGCCAGATTCAGTAACCAGCACACCCCATTCCATATACATGCCAGATAACAGGGATTTATTGCATATTTTGGCACAGTAACACAGTAAGCATAATTCATTGGACATTATAGTTATTATCAAGAGTAATACACGTATATATCACAATCACTAATAACCACTGCTGCACAAAACGAGGGTTCATAAATTCCACTGAGAAAATTAAATATAAACATTTGGGTGGATCAAGCATACTACTAAATATAGCATTATAGGCAAATAGGGCAACTGGTAATTTAAAGTAAGCCATGGCCAGTCCTAATACAAATGTTTCTGACAGTCAGAACTTACATAATTTGCAGGACACGGGGTGAGAAAATTGGAAGACCACCAACAAGCTCCTCATATTCAGATCCTACTGACTGAGCACCAGCAACTTCAGGAATTTGTGACCAGACACTACCAGGACTGTGACGATCAACGTTCACAAGCCAATATCCTGAATCTTGAGACTGAACATGTCCCAAGATATCATGGAAGATTCGTTCTGTATGCTGAAAAGACAACAATCAATTAATCCATACTGCAGAGTCCATATTAAAAAGCTGCTCAAGAAATTCCAAACCCAAAGGCTCACTGTTATTCTCCAGAAAGCCTACCACTGGAATCTCTCTTGAGCCAGATGAATTAAGTCCACATTCTCACATCCCAAATTTAAGATTCATTTTACTATTATCCTCTCACTTATGCAGTGTCTTCCAAATTGGCCTTTTCCTTTAGGTTTCCTATGAACTAAAAAGGTAACAGTGTAGTAGAATATTTTTTAAAGGAATGTATTCCTTGAAAATCATTACGTAAAAGTTGGTTAAACAAAAATTTCCCTTTTATATTTTAACGTGTTTCGTTACTGAAGATGCCGTAGAGATGGTTAATTAGTTTATTTAACAATCTACAAGTAACGGCTACAATTACTTATCACACAGTTGCGGGGTTTCACACTTTATAACCCTAATCGCATTAATCTGTTACCACTGTTGCGGGGTTTCACACTTTATAACCCTATGCGCAAATCAGTTCACTCTGTCTTCAGTAGTCTACACGTTTACAGTAGGGGAGCTTTGTATCACTGTATCACACACTCCCAATTACACAGTTACACACACATCCGGTTCTTCTTTCCGCGACGGCTGCTATACTCCAACAGTAGTCTGCTCACTGGAGAACTGTTGATAACACACTCGCTCGTAGGCTTGCTCGGAACTAGCTCAGAACTGAGCTCGGCGATTGCCACCTTACAACTAACTCGCAGTCGCTGTGCAGTTCCCTTATATAGCCGCAGCGCTTGCCTGTTGTGTAATGAGTGCCACGTCATCCTGTTACGTCACTGCGCGTTGCACATTACGTTACCGTGCGGAGGGGGGGAGGGGAGCGCTGACTCACCCGCCGTGTCACTGCTGGTGGGGGGGGTTCTCCGTTGGGCAACATGTCACAATATTGCAAAGACTGCAGAAGGAGCAGGTTGAGGACTAATCTGTGGCAATAGCCCAGCATTTGTTCCATCACCACAATAAGAAATATGGACACACCATATATTTGTTGTCTTTTACCACGTTTTGGTACACCTGTATACCTGTTACACAACCATCACTTACAAGACACAACACTTCTCCCAAAAAACAAAGAAAACAAACAAGAAAAATGCAATCACATTACTTCTAGGTTGGTAACCCATTTAAAGTCACTTATTCCTCTATACAGGTCTCTAATGTTCTTGTTCTTACTGTCCATTGCAAGCTCCTCAATTTTGTCTTACAGATATTCCTTCTTTTTACTCCTAAAATGCCTGCTGGTTTCACGTCTTATATTGTTCTGATTATCCCAATTTATTTTGCTTGGATCCTGTAAACATTGAAATTTGGCCTGCTTTCTTTTATCTAATAATTTTGAGCATCCCTCATCAAACCATGGCTTATGCTTCTTCAGTTCATAATAACCTAGACTCAACTTGGCAGAAATTTTGATATTCTCTCCAATATTTTCCCAAGCTTTATTAACATCTACCTCAGTGTCTAAACTTTCCAAAACTGCGAACCTATTTGAGATTTCAACACAATACTACTCTTTACCCTCTACCTCATTTAATTTCTTGAGATTGAACCTCTCCATATGAATTCTGTGCATTGATTGTTTGCTCACGGCCAGTCTTTCCCTAACCTCTGCCACCACTAGGTAGTGGTCAGTATCACAATCTGCTGCCCTGAATGATCGGATATCAAATATACTTGAATGTCATCTCCTGTCTATCAAAATATGGTCAATTTGATGGTGTATCTTCCCATCAGGAGTTGTCCAAGTAAATTTATGGATGTTACAATGTGGGAACATTGTATTTTTGACAGTAAGGTTTGTGAATGTGGCAAGGTTTACTACTCTAACTCCATTATCATCATTAATTTCATGCAAACTCTCATTCCCAATCGTTGGTTTGCAAATGTTTTCCCTCCCTACTTTGGCACTGAAATCTCCTAACAAAATTTTCATACGGCACTTCGGGAATTTATCAAATACATGTTCTAGTTCTTCACAGAACCTGTCCTTTATATCATCAATTTTATCTTCCACTGGGACATGAATATTCAGAATGATATCACACCAGCAGTGGCGTGCGGTATTATTTTTGGTAAGGGAAACAATGGTATCTAATAAACAAACTGACAGCAATCAACTCACCAAAATTTATTTGAAGACCAAATCTATTCTCCAGTCCTTAGCAGCAAAATTATTGATGACATGGTCATAGAAGCCTTCACTGTTGCAAATGTTTTCCAATAATTTCTTCTCAATGGACAACAGAGACAACCTGGACATTCTACATTCCCCTTGAGAGTTCCTCACGTAAGTTTTAATTCTCTTCAGTGCAGAAAACGAACATTCAACCAAAGCACTACTTGCAGGAATTGTCATGATCAGTTCACATAACTCTGTCAGCTGGTGTAGTGCACTGTCGATGTTTGTAGTTTTTAGATGTAGCAAAAGCTGACTTGCATTCTGGATGTTTAAAACTTCATTAGAATAAAATACAATCAGTTCACTTCTTAAACGAGGAAAATTGAAGTGCTGGCCATACACCATTTTCAGTGACAAAAAAGATATTTCAGGAAACGTCTTTTCATACTCCTTACTGCAACTAGGATTTATTAATTTAAGAAACTTTAGCTTTTCTAAGTTCTGAAAACTTAATTCAATTTAATTCACAACATTATCAAAAAATTTCATAATAAAGTTTTCTGAAGCATTTTTTTACGTCCCCTACATTGTCAAGACGCAATCGTTTCCTCTGTGGTTCATCAATTTCTTCATTTGAGGACGTTTGGCAGAATACATTCTCGAAGTTTTCTCTTTTCTTGGCTATATCTTCTTTTCTTCGGTCACTTTATGGATACAAAAAGATATGTCATTTGATTTTGTTTGTAGTATATCGAAAAGAATGGTGGTTACTGAAAATAAATCTTTGAAAACAGCAAGTAGAAAATTAAAGTTGAAATCTTGCAGCACAGAAAGAAATCCTTGAGTGGCAAAGTACGTTTCATTATCCCAGTTAACTGGATTTTCAATTATATTTTGGAACATGGTGTTCAATTCAAATTTGTACTTGTATACTGTCTCTACTAGATGAGTGTGCAACTTTTGGAAACCTCTTTTTCACTTCTTGATCCAAACAGTGCGTCCTTTTAGAAAATGCAGAGAAAAAGGAAGAAAAGCTGTTCAGTGTTTTGAAAAACACATTGCACTCTTTAATACTAGCGACAGACTGTGAAAGTACAAGATTAAGCTTATGTGCCATACAATGTATGAACATGGCATTTGGAAACATGTCTCTCACTTTAGTTTGTAGCCCATTAAGTTCACCTGACACGACCGCCGCCCCAACATACTGTGACATGTTGCGCAACGGAGGACCCCTCCCTCCCCAGCGGTACGTGGCGGCATCGTAGCGCTGTCGTTACTCCCCGCAGTGACGTACCACGCAACACAGCTGTGACACAAGTAACAAGCAACAGTGGTACCCACTGTGTAACAGGCGGGTGCTGCGACTATATAAGGGAACTACACAGCCGCCGAAGTTACTTAAAAGTGTATCAGCAGCCGAAGACAGTTGTCAAGGCAGCAGCCAACGAGTTGAGTTGGAATCTAGCCAGTGGTGAGCCGTTAGTTAAGTTGGAATATAGCAGCCGTCACGGAAAGAAGAACCGGACGCGTGTGTGATAAAGGTGACAGTTTGTCATAACTGAGTAATAATTGGGAGTGTCTGATACAGTGACACTTGTATAGCTCCCATATCAAAATTAATACGTGTAGACTACTGAAGATAGAGTGAACAGATTATTACGAATAGGGTTATAAAGTGTGAAACCCCGCAGATTGAAGAGATTATTGCGAATAGGGTTATAAAGTGTGAAACCCTGCAGATTGAAGAGATTATTGCGAATAAGGTTATAAAGTGTGAAATCCCGCAGACTGAAGAGATTACTGCGAATAGGGTTATAAAGTGTGAAATCCCACAACAGTGTTGTAATTAATTGTAGCCGATACTGGTAGGTTCTTAAATAAACCAATTAACAATCCGAATGGCGTCTTCAGTGACCAAGACACGTTACAATACGTTTGTGCCACTATTTTCCTGCCAAATTCATACTGAACTACACAGTCCATAATGCGTTCAGCTAACGCCGATGCAGTTCGATCAGCACTCACATCCAAAAATCCTAAAAACCGTTCTTGTATTTCACCATCACTAGTTGCATATCTTAATACGATTGAGAGCTGTGATTGGCTTCGAATGTCAGTCGTCTCGTCAACCATTACAGCAACAAAAGGGCCCGAGCTTACTTCTCTTTTGATTTCTGTTAGAATTACGTCACTTATTGAGTCAGTAAGGTCGTTTTGTATTCTGTTCGATAAACCTGTAAATACTGTACTGTTCTCAAGGTGAGCATTGAGTTTATGATCATATTTCCTCAACAAATGAACTAATTACACATAATTACCTCGGTTGATAGAATCCACGCTTTGGTCGTGATCCCGGAGGGCAAGTTGCCTCTTTCCTAAATGGCAGATGATATCAATCAAGCATTTCATTATTTCTCTATTTTCTTTCACATTTTCATTGTGCTGTAGTATTGTTAGGCGCTTTTGATTGTCAAGTTGACAGTCAATTTGAACATGACAAGTTGCACTGTTGAAATAATGTGAGTCTGAGAGTTCTCATCTCGTTTCAGTGCTTTATGAAGATTGCTGATATCGTGACAGTCCAAACCTTTTACAACTCTTCAAGGGACGCTATGGTCCTTTTTAGCCATTTCAGTAGTGACTGATTTATTGGGGAGACCGATTCATTAGCATGTTATGACTTGCTTTTCGCATCTGGACAGAAACAACTGCCTTGTTTTGTTACCTGCAGCTTGGGTGACCGGAAAAGGGATGAGGCCACCACAGGAGGCAAATCTGTAGTTTGCCGAAGATGTAAATTTTGTTTTGCTGATAGTGTAGCTGTTATAAAAGTGTCTTCGGAAGGGTGTAATTGGACCTTAAACTAAGAAAGAACCACTTTCACATGTGGGGTACCGGGTTCTATATCTTTGGATCTCTTTATTCTCAAAGTTCGTTATGTGATTGTCTAGTGCTGATTTCATGATGGATTTGGCCAGTTAAAATCAGCCAATAGGAAACTATTCTTGTCTGGGAGAGAGGCCGTCAATTCAAATCCTATACAGGGGATGAAGCAACGTTCCCGCAGGATAGAGTCTGCAGAAGGACTTGGCGTTTTGAATTCATCGGAGGCAGACGTCATTGGGCTGCACTCTCCAAGTTTATCTAAATTTATCAGTCTTTATTTGGTTTATTAATCTTTGATAGTAATAAAAGGGCACATTACTCCGTACTTGCTAATGAAGTTATAGTATTTCGCTTCTGAATAAACAATTTGTGGAGAGCAGAAATAGCGTCGTTGATTTCTAGCAGTGGACTGGCTTTAAATGTGCAGTTTCTCCGTTGCCTCAGTTATTACCGTAACACAAGCCCGATAAGAGTCAAATGATTTACCGAAGCTGGCAAGTAAGTACAAAGATATAAAGGGGACGGTTACAATATCACCAAACCCAGTCTTGTTCCATACATTTTTTTCATCGAGAAACAATAGGCATGGCCAACAAAATAATTACGGCAACCAGATAGCCACTCTGTTTTAGAATACTGTTCCAAATTAAATTTCCTCACACATAATTTGGTTTGTGCTTTAAGTTCTGGCAAATCGCATGTCGGCCATCCTCTTTCTATAATCATTTTCTTTTCAGAAAAGTCCCTGCTATTAAACCCCCATTTTAAAAGTCTTTCGACTGCATAGTCGCAGTTGTGTTGTCTGCCAGTATTCATTTTAGCTGTTCCCTGTGCGTGTAGCCTGATCATACCCCTGCCCTTGTACCGCAGTACTGCACTTGCTTCCCTTAAACGCAGATAGCTTCTTTCTGATGGGTCAAAATACGATCACAGATACAATCTTACACCATATAAATATGCACTTTTAATATTTTAATAAAACTTAATGTTACCTATAACACCCAATAAGACTGAAATCACACATAAACAGTTAATTTTCACATAACCATCGAAAGAACAGTCCTTCGCTTCTATATCACAGGCATTAGCCAGGAAAACGAAAGTTGCTTCCTTGCCCACTTCGTGTGAGACGAATTATTATGAAGTTTAACAAAGGAAACTTGGTCCACCCACCAAGCAGGGAAAGGGAGCAGGTGGAAGAGGCATGTGGCCTTGAGCAGGAACACGTGCTAAATGACAAAATTCAAATCCTTATCATTCAAAGTGAATTATTTATACATGACTTTTTTTTTCGTTTCTTAACTACGGAAGCAATGCTTCCCTTGCTTCCATGCACGGCACGCCACTGCACACCAACGACCTCTTAGTATTATGTATGACAGCCTATCACTAATGAACTCTACCCTCTTAAATGCTGACACGATTCTCTTATGTACAAAAAAACATGTACCTAATTCATTATTTTCATTCTCCTTTCCATAGAAAAATGTATGTTCGTCTGCTGGTCTGATGCCACCTCCATGCCATCTGACCTCCTGTACTCCCATTAAATCTAACTTATATTTTGAGTTTTCTTCCGCCACTGCCCTGAGCAAACCTGCCCTATACATACTTCTAACATTCCACGTACCAAATTTCACGTCCATCTTTATATACTCTTAATTTTTTAATTGTAATGATTTAACATTTTAACTAATAATATTTAATCTTAAAGGTGAACACACCTTTTTATACTCAGGGTGGAGCGCAGAAACTTCCTTTTTGTGAAGAGAGGGGAGGTTGCAGAAAAGTGGGGACAGGCTCAGCAAATGCAGCAGTCACGGAAGTTTCTGACTAATTCCCTTCAGTAGGAAACATGAGGTGGACGAGTGAGCAGCGTGCGTTTGCTGTCGAAGCCTATTTTTCGAACAACCATTCCTACATGGCGGTGCAGCGTGCGTTCCGTACTCACTTCGGAATTAAGCCCAGAGGTCTGGTTCCCAACTGGAAATTGATTGTTTTGTGGGTAGAGAACTTCAGGACAACCGGAAGTGTGGTGAAAAAATCATCAGGATGACAACGGACCGTTACAATGCCATAAAATGTGGAGGCAGTTCGACAGTCGATTTTGAGATCTCCAAGATGCTACACTCGCAAACATGCAGTCGCTCTAGACATATCCAATCGTTCCATGTGCCGAATTCTTCATGAACATCTTCATTTCCATCCCTATAAGATGGCTGTTGTGCAAGGATTGTCACCATGTGATTTCCAGAACCCAATAACAGCGTGCGAAACGTTACTGGAAACTTTACCCCCTGACGCACTTGTTTTATTTAGTGATGAGGCACATTTTCACCTATCCGGATATGTCAACAAGCAGAATATGCGCTAATGGAGTGGTAACAATCCCAGAGAGCTCCATGAGAGGCCACTTCACAGTGATAAGGTGACAGTATGGTGTGCATTGTTGAGAGTTGGAGTTATTGGCCTTTATTTTCTTGAAGAAGACAATCATGCAGTTCCTGTCAATTCACAGCGGTATGTGGACATGATTAAAAACTTTTTCAAACCAGCTCTTGAAGAAATGCATCTAGGAAATGTCTGGTTCCAACAGGATGGTGCCACGGCCCACACAGCCAGAGCTTCGATGACAGTTTTGAGGGCAAAGTTCCCCAGATGGCTCATCTCACTTCTAGGTGACATCCCATGGGCAGCGCACTCACCTGATCTAATGCCCTGTGGTTTTTTTATGGGGATACCTCAAGGCAGAGGTTTTTAAACATTGCCCCACAAACTTGCATCAGCTGAAAAATGTTATTCGGCAGGAAGTAGCCCAAATTCCAGTGCACATGTTGGAACGTGCAGAGGGGAACTTCAGAAAACGGTTGCATCAGTGGATAGAGAACGGTGGCCACCACCTTCAAGATATTTTGTTTAAAACTATATGATTTAAAACTTTAAAGTATGTTCTTTCATTAGCTAAACATAAATTTTGTCTATCAGCAATAATTTTTCTTTTATTCACCTTCAAAAAAAGGAAGTTTCTGCGCCCCATCCTGTATAATGCCATTACACATTATTGAAAAAAGAACAGTATTCCAAAACATGTAAACACTGACCAATGCAGGAATGACACTTCTTGCACATAGTCTTTACAGAGTAGCAGAATTAATGGGGGAAAAAAAAGACTTACAAAAACATAGATCCTCTGTGGTGATGGAGCAGAAGGGTTAGCACTGTATGGAGATCCTAGAGGTGTGAGAATTACTGCCAGGAGAGTCAGCAAGTGGAGTGCTGATGCACCTGCCACAACCCTCCATGGTCTCTTCACCAATATGATTAATGGTGTCTAAAATGGAGCAAAAGGTTAAGACAATATACATCTTTTTCAATGGATGCATCCTGTTGGGTTAAATATATATACAAATTTCTTTATTAAAAGTGAATTATTTTATTATTAAAACAAAACAGTTGATGTTTAGCAGCATTTTGCTACATGTTTTGGCTTTTTTTTAAGAAAGCCATTGTCAATCTGCAATCCGCCTCCCTACCAGACTGGACATAATAAACGTAAATAGAGGTACCTGTTATATAATATCAAAACTAGAAAATATTGCATTCATACCAGTGGGCCTCCAAGCATTTTAACCACTTCATATGTGTATACAAGAAAGAAAACTGTTGCCATATGATGGCAAAAACACTGACATAATATTATGATTGCAACAACCTACTTTAATAGGACCTATTATATGTATAGTTCTTAATTATATTTTAATTGTGAAACTTATCTTGTTTAAAATCTTAACCTTTTATTGTATTTTATGTTTTATATTAAGGAATACTGTTGAAAATCCAACACTGCACTGAATTACCGTATTTACGCATGTATAGGCCGCGTGCATGTATAGGCCGCAGCACAATTTTCAGACAAAAATTATAGAAAAAATAATTTTCTTGGAATATTATTACTATTAGTATACTACTAGTATTACTAATTATGAATATATTTTTTTTTAAATGAAGTGCGATTTCGAATATTTCGAATATAAGCCGCACCCCAGTTTTCCTCTTGAATTTTTGGCAAAAAATGTGCGGCCTATACATGCGTAAATACAGTATACTGTATGCAATTCAATAGCTTAAGAACAAATTATTTGTGTATTTGCTGATGGTTTTCTAAAAAGCTGAAACATGTAGCAAAATATTGTAACGTGTTTGGAGTAGATACTTCCATGGTAACACAATAACAGTAGGCCGTTGTGTTGACAATGCCAAAACAACGAATGCGTTTCCCCGTAGATGAACAACAGAAGGCCGTTGAGTAACAACGGATGAGACGAAACCTGTTACCAGCACATGAAGAGCGTTCCCGAAGCAACGGATCGCTGAACACATGAGACCGAACCTTGGCGAGAGGTCTCTTCTACTGAGTCCGCAGAACACCTACATAAGCCGAGAGCTACAGACTGCAACAACACATTTGGAACCTAGTTGCCATACAAGACAGTTGGAAGATAGCCACCGCACAATACAGTTGAAGTGATAACAATTGTACGGTGTGTAAGAGTGAATGTTCAATAAAGATTCGCTAAATCCGAGACCCATGTAAAGTTATTTGTCGCATGACATACTCTACATGTGACAATATTATTAAATATTAACTGTTTTGTTATGTTGTGACAGATTTTAGTAAAGAAATTTATACAATCTACATCATCTATAGAAAGCATCATTAAAAAACTGGACTAAATTAAAGCCAACTCTTTTACTTTCTTCAAAGGTAAAGGTTAAGCTATCCCTGTAACAGGCCACGGAGGTCCAGAGGGTTGTGAGACATCGAGGCTCCCACATTTTGTAGACAATCAGTTCACAGAGAGTGGCATGGTTGGCAGTCTTATGCACCAGCCACCCTTAATCCTCAGGAAGATCCCTGGTACTCATTTCTGTTAGAGACTGGGTTGACCCCAGGGCCTTAGTGTGGCTGGACAGATTAGGTCAACTGAAAAATCCAATGACCTCAACGGGTACTGAACCCATGACCTTCTGTCTTGTAGCACAGTGACTCAACCAACTGTGCTACCGCAGGCCCCTTTATTGTCTTACCTATAATTAAATACAAACAAAACTGTGCACACTGAAACGAATCAATAAATCTGAACAAACCAAATCTTTGGTAATACGTGGTGCGTTCCGTATATAATGCCTCCTATTTTTTTGTGTTAATATGTAACGTTTGAGCTGGATGTTGGTGTTGTTGTAGTAAAGGTTGAACCTTCCCGTCAATGTACTGTTAATTTGGTTGTCGTGCGACAGATAGTGACAGCAGAGCCGTCTACCAAAATGGCGTCTGACATAGAAGTGCATATGAAAGAGAAATGTGTTATTGAATTTCTCACTGCCGAACAAATTGTACCCATTGACATCCATTGCCACTTGCTAAAGGTGTACAGAGACAATACAGTGGATGTCAGCACAGTGATTCGGTGGGTTGTACGTTTCAACAGTGGCGAAAGTCAAGTGCACGACAAGCCACTCCATGGGCGTCCCTGCTCAGCTGCCACTCCTCACAATGAACAGCGCCTCATCCGAACAGATCAGCAGATAACGACCAGGGACTGTCAATTCTGAATGCTACAAGATGACGCTGACTAAGCTGAAAGCCCGTATTTCCCAAGTCAGGCCAGAGAAGCAGACAACCTTTCGCTTGCAACACGATAACGCTAGACCCCATACCAGTTTGGCGACCACCGCTCACACTGTAGTTTGGTTGGACTGTCCTGCCACAGCCACCTTATAGCCCCGGTTTAGCACCTTCAGACTTTCATCTCTTTGGGCCTATGAAAGACAGACTAAGTGGGAAACACTTTCCAGACAACGATGCTGTCATTGCAGCTGTAAGAAAGTGGTTAGCCTCTACTGGCACAGACTTTTACGGGCACGGCATACAGGCTCTTGTTCATCGATGGCAAAACTGCATAACGAATGGTGGTGATTATGTGGGAAAATAACTGTAAGTAGCTGAAATCTCGCTCTATTTAACTGCATTATTATGATTTCTGTATCTTTGTAGTTTTCTTTAAAAAAAATAGGAGGCATTGTGTACGGAACGCCCTTAGTTTAAGTCGTTTCTGCTATTTAAATAATACTCCCTTGTAATTTAAGAATGCTATCAATAACTCAAGCTATACAGTGCCATGGTTGTCAGTGAATAATGAACTGGAAAGAAAGTGGCAGGATGGCCTGATTTAAAGAACTGTACCAGCATTTGCCTGGAGGGACTGGGGGAAAAATATAAAAGATCTGTCACAACAGTCAGTGTCCTGTCTAAGATTTTAACTGGATACCTCCCGAATACATGACAGAAATGTTACTGCATGTGAAAAATGTGTCAGGATAACCAGCCTCCAGGCCTAGAATGGAACACATGACCTTTCAAAACTAACCACTGCACAACAATATTTACTGCTCTCATGTTAACTGCAACCATTTAGAGTACACACAGTTTAAAATGATTAGTTAAGAGAAGTGCAAAACTTGATGGCATATGCCATTCCTTCTGTAACACATCACTTTCTTCATTTCATTTCATTTATTCACCTTCCATAAATCCTGTCGAGAGTACATTCTCATGCGGATGTGGAGATCGTCGTTGTTACAGTCACAACTAAGGATTACAGTTGTCATCCAATAGCATGCACATTTGTATAAAATACTGAGAAACATGTACAATATAATAAATAAGTTAATTTTAGTAGTAAAAGTAATGGCAAACCTTATACAATTTGTACAGTTTTATGCAAGTCTATTAATTAAAAATTCAATAGTTAAAACATAATATCATTAATGAGTCTTGTATAACATACATCAATTATATAATAAATTGAAACAAAGACCAGTATACAGTAATATAAAAATTGTGTATATCTAAAATAAGCGTCTAAAAACCAGAACACAGACTGACAACTTTGTCTTCCTTTAATTGTAAAGCAAGACAACTACTCACACCTTAAAAAGANTAAAAAATGCAACATTTTAACTCGGTTTTTGGTAGATTTTTACGTGACTAACATAAGGCTACTGTGGAAGTGCCCATTTCGGTTACGATGACATTCGTTTATAACGACACTATTTTTAGGTCCCTTTGATGACGTTATAACCAAGTCCTACTCTATATTCTTTTGCATTCTAAAAATTTTTATACTTTTGGGGTGAGTTACCCCAAAAGGGTAAACCATAATTTATAATTACAATTAATTAATTAAATAATAATTAAAATAAGCGTGATAAACCATTTTCAATGTATTTATGGACATGTATGGTTTAAGCGATCTTATTATGTAGCAGACTGCACTTAGTTTAGGACTAATATACTCAATGTGGTATTTCCAACTCATTGTGTCATCAATGAATATTCCAAGAAATTTAATATTGGATATAGATGTAATTTGTTTTTTATCATATACAATTTTTATTTCAGATTTAGGATTTTTATTTCTAGCTGTAAATTGAATGTAGTGGGTTTTGTTAAAATTTACAGAGTGTTTGTTTACTTTGAACCATTCATTTATACTATGAAAAGCATTGTTTATATTTACAGAGATCATCATAGTTTGAACTTTTAACTAACAAACTAGTGTCATCTGAAAATAATATAGGTACAGTTTTATCATTTATAGTTTTGGGTAAATCATTTATATAAATGAGAAATAACAATGGACCCAGAATCGAACCTTGCGGGATACCATGCCTAATTTTGCCCCATGTTGAAAAGTCATTGAGATTAAGATTTATGTATATATTTGTAATTAAAACCCTTTGATATCTATTTCTGAAATAAGATTCAAGCCATAGTTTAGCTTTACCCTTTATCCCCTAGAACTCCAATTTTGACAACAGAACCTCATGATTAACACAATCGAAGGCCTTTTCTAGGTCACAAAAAATGCCTCCTATTAAGTTTTTGCTGTTTAAGGTCTTACAGATTTCATTCACTAACTTGTATATAGCCTCATCTGTTGAAGATTTTGTTCTAAAACCAAATTGTTCTTCCACTAAAATGTTATTGTTATTTAAGTGCTCAATCAATTGAATGCTCATAGCTTTTTCTAATACCTTAGAGAACGAAGTTAAAAGTGATATAGGCCTATAGTTGGAAATATTTGTTTTTTCACCCTTTTTAAACAGCAGTCTTATTCCTGAGTATTTTAAACAATCTGGAAAAATTCGTTGTGATAATGAATTGTTGCATATGCGAGTCAAAGGAGAGCTAATGAAAAGGGAACTCATTCTTAATACTTTAGTGGATATTTCATCATATCCATAAGAGTTTTTGCTTTGAGAGATTTAATTATATTTTCAACTTCCTTAGTTGATAAAGATTTAAGTTTAACATGTGGAAAGGGATTTATAAAAGTTTTAATTAAATATTGAATGGGAGTAGTATCTGGAAGGTAACTAATATTAGTATTATTTTGTTTATTTTTTGCATTTTTATTTTCAGCTTCAGATAAAAAGTAATTGTTAAAGGTTTCCACAATTACTTGCTTTTCTCTAATCCATTTTCCATCCACCTTTAATGTGCATATTTTTTAATTTTTTGGTCCCATATTAGTTTCTAATTTTACTATATCCCATATTGTTTTATTCTTATTTTTGGAATTTTGAATTTTATCATCATATTTTAGTTTTTTAGCTTCCTTAATGACCTTAGATAAAATTTTACAGTATTTTTTATAATAGTTTCTTAATTCTGANAACTGGAATAGTAAATTTTCAAGTAAGTGTCTAAAAAGGAGTTAAACATTATATTAACACCATCACTAGAAAATGTTGAGTCCCATGTTTCATAACTCAGTTTAATTAAAAAATCATTTATTGTGTTTGTTTATTTTCCTTATTATTTTAAATGGTTTAGCATGTGTTCTCATGTTTATTGTTTTAAATGTTATGGATTGTGCATCATGATCAGACAATCCATTTATTATAGGCCTTACAGAATAATTTTCCCTTCTAGTAATATCGATGAAAATATTATCAATGGCTGTAGCAGAATTTCCTTGAACTCTGGTGGAAAAATTTATCATACTTATTAAATTATAAGTTTTCAATATGGTATCTAACTTGTTTTTCTTTCCACTATCAAGAAGGTAATTTATATTAATAATATCTTCTTGTGGTGAGGTATATAGGTTTCTAAATACTGTATCTAGTTTTGTTATGAATGAATCAATGTTTCCAGTCGGAGCTCTAAACTTGTCAACACTTGTCACTTGTAAACTGTTTCTACATGCCATATAGAGTACTCTTTTATGTTTACAGGATGTTTTTATTCCTATAGTAATCCAATCACTTATTTCATTTGATATTTTAATTTTTTTGGGGGGGGGGGGAAACTGGAATAGTAAATTTTCAAGTAAGTGTCTAAAAAGGAGTTAAACATTATATTAACACCATCACTAGAAAATGTTGAGTCCCATGTTTCATAACTCAGTTTAATTAAAAAATCATTTATTGTGTTTGTTTATTTTCCTTATTATTTTAAATGGTTTAGCATGTGTTCTCATGTTTATTGTTTTAAATGTTATGGATTGTGCATCATGATCAGACAATCCATTTATTATAGGCCTTACAGAATAATTTTCCCTTCTAGTAATATCGATGAAAATATTATCAATGGCTGTAGCAGAATTTCCTTGAACTCTGGTGGAAAAATTTATCATACTTATTAAATTATAAGTTTTCAATATGGTATCTAACTTGTTTTTCTTTCCACTATCAAGAAGGTAATTTATATTAATAATATCTTCTTGTGGTGAGGTATATAGGTTTCTAAATACTGTATCTAGTTTTGTTATGAATGAATCAATGTTTCCAGTCGGAGCTCTAAACTTGTCAACACTTGTCACTTGTAAACACAGGGCCAAATGAGGTGACGTTTGAAGTAAATCAAATTTCAGATCTCATTCCCCAATTCACTGGTGTCAACAATAAAGAAAAATACAATGAACAGAATTCATTAGAAACACAAACTGAACATATAACAAAAATAACTAACTTACGAAACTGAGACATCTACAACTTGAGTCTTCTTTGCACAATAAACCAGCTAGAAAACTATATTGACAAGTTAAGAGTTGCTCAGTTAGTCAAAGAATCCGTGCCTTTTCTGAAACCCAAAGGTTCATCAACATGTTCACAAAAGCACACCACCTTTTCCTACCCTAAATCCAATCCAATCCACAACTTCTCACTATATTTCTGTATAAGACATGTTTTAATTATATCCTTCAATCTTTGCCCAGGCCTTCCAACTGGTCTCTTCCCATCATGCTTCCCAACAAGACTTCTCGTCTTTCCCATGCATGCCACATTACCCATATTGTCTAATTTTATGATTCTCAAATATTTGGCAAAGATTAGAAATTATGAGCTCCTCATTATGCTGTCTTCTTGAGCCTCCCTTTAAGGTCTTAGTACTCTGGTCATACATACTTTCAATCATTAAAATTTGAGGTTCTCATGTCAATAACTATGAAAAGTGCTGTCTTCAAGGATATGACGCCATATAGTTTTGCTGATATGTATCAATGTTTCAGGGGGACATGCTATCTCCACCTTCTGGGTAGTGAGAATAGGCTGAGACTGGAAAGAGTGAGCTACAAGGGAAAGGAAGTAGGAAGAAACAAAATAAAGAACCACTGGCTTTACAAAGGTTACCACAATGAAGTGGATAAAACAAAGATAGAAAATCCGCATGGGGCTGATTCAGAAGGTAGATGTCAATGGAAAATAAACAAAGAAACTTAGGAAGAAGGTGGGCAAGAGAGAAATAGCCCCAAATGAAATAAAAAATAACAAAAAGCATACAAAAAATGACATGGGGGGTGTACACAGAATGAAGCAGGCAGAGATACAGTAAAAAAACTGTGACCTGAAACAGACCATTCTTCAAGAAAAGAGAGAAGGGAGAGGAAAATTAGATGTGCAAGGAGGATGACAGGTTTATATCAGAGGGTGAGACAGTATAAAAGGAAGAAATGAAAGCAGGAAATGAGAGAAAGGAATGGGAGAGAAAGTGGAAAATGGGTCATGTGAATAATTTTCATTGAACCATAACTGACCATGGTGGACAATCAGAATCCTTAGATGAAGGCTTCATACTTTCCTTGAGAGTATATCAGAGACATCTAGATTTTGGCCAGGAACAGGACATCCACCCTGTTCATGGATAACATTTACAAAAGCTAACTACAGGTAAGGAAATAAAGCAACATACATCACTATGTAAGATTTGAGGTTCTGACAGTGGTGAATATGAAGATTACCATCTTCTGGGATCTGAAGTCATGTTGTTTGGTACTTGTGTTCAGAAAGAACATTTTACCTTGACCTCCAAAGTTGAAGAGTAACCCTTTAACTCTTCAACCATGTAAGATGGATGCGGCAGCAGATTTCTCTGAAATTTTGGTAACATCAACAAAAATGCATGGGTTCACATCCCAGAGAACACTCATCTACACAGAAAAGACTCAAGATTTCACTGGTAGGTAATTACTTTGTTTCAGAGGAACAGAACATGCTATAAACATTCTGATGAAGTGAATGTCACTGCAAAATGACTCTGTTAACCTCAAGTGTTAGAAAAAACAAAAGAATGTGCTCACTTACAGAAAAAAATCCTAATGGAATATACTGACGTTGGTACTATATACACAAACAACAAAAGAATTCAACACCATACAGTCTTGATCCTGAATATCATCGTTAAATAATACACTTAAAAAACCAACAAAGGAGCACTATATAACAGAAAAAGAATGGTAAAACAATTCCACTTTTAATATTACTTGAATGAACCCAGTATTTTCACCTCAAAATGAATGCCCTGCTCATATTATGCTCATCTAATGAGAAACTGGTGTCACTTTCTTTGTTGGCTTTATAAATAAAATGTAGGTAGAAGTAACAACAATTCTGAGAACTATAAATTTTTTTACTGTAATTATGTTGAATTTGTTTTGTGTCCCGATGAAGTCATTGGATTTTTTCAACTGACCTAATCCTTCCAGTGACACTATGGCCCTGGGGTTGACTCAGTCTCTAACAGAAATGAGTACCACGAATTAATTAAATAATTTTCCTGGGGAGCAAAGTGCAGCCGGTGTATAAGGCTGACAACCTTACCGCCATCTTTGAGCCAATCGTCTAGATAATGTGGGACCCTCAACGTCTCACAACCCTACGGGCCTTCACGGCCCGGTACAGGGATAGCTTTAGTATTTTTTTTGTATGTGGAAATTTATACTGGTAACTGTTAGAATGAAACGAACAGGAAGAAATTATTACTACACCTACTAGAAATATTACCGCTTGTAGGAAAATTTGACACCTATCAGATTAGTAAACTGCTGTCCTCGTAAGGTAGGAAAGACCAAATATATGACAGGTAAGGAAGAAGACACAACTGCAAAACAAGTCTGACATTCCGAACAGATAATCATATATTATGTTATTGGTGAGACACTAACCATGCAACTTGTTGACAATATACAAAGAAGAGCTGCAAAAATTCCAATTATGATATCTGGATTTTTAACAGGCCCTATTCTTCCAGTGATTGGTATAAAGACGCCAAATGCCATAACTGTTTGATATAGGATGAAGATAACTGAAGGCAGTGTACTGGGCAAGTACACAGTCAACCACATACGTGCTGCAAAACAAATGCACAATTACAATAATAATTACTTCCAGTTATATCTGAAAAATAACATAATATAATCACCACAACTCCACAAATCCCAGGTACCATGTAAATATCATGCCTAAAAATTTCCTTGTGATGCCTAGTAGTTTATGGACATTCTTCTGTGAAAATTTGTTTAGACTACTTGCCATTGTCATACAGAATGCAGTTCAGACAATGGTGTAACAAGAGGCACTTCTTGTCAAGAAGTATGGATTAAAATGATTACCATAACCAGACTTAAAAATCAGACACAGACAATCACACCTCATGTGCATGAAATAAGTTATTTTATGGAAGACTATCATAAATACCTTTTCTACTGAGTGATAAAATGCAACTGTGCTTAGGTCTTTATCAAGACATCTTCAACTGTTCACTTTGTCATATACTCTAAAGGTACTGGGCTTAAAATTTTTAAATTTGCATAGTGGGGGGTGGAGTCCAGTTGGGTCCACTCAGCATGTTGGCCACTGATTGGCCTATTGTACCTGCCCCGGGTGATTATGATGATAGAGAATCTGGTGGAATGAAGATTGGCAGGGGAAACTGAAGTACTCGGAGGAAACCTGCCTCAGCGTCACTTTGTCCGCCACAAATCCCACTTGA